CACTCATTCCAAAAACAGCTTTGTTGTTGGTCTCGTCTCTTCTTCAACTTTCGTGTCATCTTCATCAGTCAATAAATACGAGTTTTTTTTTAATGTGTTGCAGGACTGTTCTTTGTATTTCAGCACCAATTTATGCACGGATAAACTTTTGATCACAAACATAGTCTTTTTGATATTTTATTAACTCGCAGTTGTTGAGCTTCTTTCCTTCTTTTATAAACTTTTCAAGTACCTAACGTTTCCTGATTTTGATTTTGGTAACACAAAACTAAGCAACTGATAGTTGGGAAAAACAAAATATTTAAATGAAGATAAATACTGCGGATATTGTTGAAGTACAAATGTCACAAAATGACATTTACATAGATGTGACGTAATTCGCTCTGATTGGTGTTCAACGTATAATGGCTGTTCGCTGTATTTTGTAGTTTTATTTTATCAAAAATATTATCAATCTCGCTCATAATATAAAAATAAATACGTTTTCTATAATCCATCATATTTCATTAGATAAAAATATAATTTTAGTGATTTTTGGTTACTGTCATCATAGTCCACGGGCCCACGTACAAAGAAAAAAATGATTACCAGCAAGCTGTAACTTTGCGTGCAGCCCAAGATTTGACTATGAAGAAAATTCAACAGTGGTGATTTTCAGGAAAACATGTCAATCTGGCATAAACATGGAATGTTATGACCAGCACTTTTTTTTAAGTTTGACTGAAAGATATATTTTTTTAAACCCCCCAAAAAATTTGTCCGACAAAAATGTTGGTATTTTGAGTTTGCTCCCCATCCCAAATATGTCGATTTGGTGACATTATGGTTGGTGACAACCAGCAAGCTGATTTTTCTGGGAGTGTTTGGTAATAAGATTTGAAATGAAAGTATCTTATTGTCCGACAAAATTCTTGAGAAGTTTTTGCAGTCCGACGCCCCGAAGATGTCGACTTAACGACAACATGGTTGGTGATAACCAGCTGTCGGACAAAAGCGTCATTATTTAAAAAAATGCAATATTAATCTGAGAATTTAATTGTCCGACAAAATTATCGGTTTTTTCTTGCTTGTCCGACAAAATTAAAC